GCAAACTTCCAGCTGCCGGCTGATGATTGGCTAACAGCGGCCCCAGCAAACTTCTAGCTGCCAACTGATTGGCTCCTCTGAGGTGATGCTCATTGGGTTGTTTCCCCACCCTTTCAGACCACGGAGCTGCTCACTGGGGGACTTTGGGCTCCGCCCATGCGACCCAGCCAATCGGCCTCAAGAGCAGGAGGAGTGGGGGAGGTTGAGAGGCTTGTGGGAAGCCAGTGGTGGCAGTTGGGCTCTGAAGGTTTTCCTGAAGAGCTGTGTGGTTTGGTGTGTGTGTTCTAAAAATAAAGTTTGTTTCTTTTGACAAGTGGCTCCTGAATTGTGCCCAGCCAGACTGCATCAGATTAGAGGCTATCTAGAGCTATAATAGGAGGAGGTAATGGGGAAGTGATTGCTAATGGGTATAAGTTTTCTTTCTAGTATGGCAATTACACAATGGCATTGGTTGTGCAACTCTGTAAATATACTAAATATCACTGAGTTGTACACTTCAAATGGGTCAACTTTACAGTATGTACTTATGTCATCTTTTTGACAACAGGCATCCTCCTAATGGTGTGAGGTGATATCTCATTATAGTTTTGATTTGCATTTCCCTGATTATTAGTGATGTTGAGTACCTCTTTGTGTACCTGTTGACCATTTGTATGTTGTTATGGTTTAGATGTGATGTGTCCATCAAAAGCTCATGTGTGAGACAATACAATGATAGGATTGTGAGAGCCTTAAATCAGTGCATAAATCCACTGATAAAGATTAACAGGTCCATAACTATAGGCAGGTAGAGTGTGACTTGAAGAAGTAGGTCACTGGGGTCATGCTTTTGGGGTTTATATTTTGTCCCTGGTGTGTCTCTATTTCTCCTTCTTTGCTATGATGTTCTGCTTCACCTTGGGCCCAGAGCTATGAAGTTAGAAAGAAAAAAAAAAACTGACTAGAAAAGAAATTGGTACTGAGAAGTGGGGTTATTGCTTCTGAACCTGATTATGTGGTTCAGAAGCCTTTGAAGCTGGTATGCATGGTTGCAGGGAGGTGTTGAATTAGAGATGCAAGCTGGAAAAGCTTTAGAATGTTTTCAGTGGAACTTAATGGACAATTCTGTTGGGAGCTCAGAAGAATGCTGATAGGACAATGGGCAGTAAAAATTGGCCTCATGAGGTTTCAGAGAAGGAAGATTCTATTGGAAATTGAACTAGAGGCCACTCATGTTATGTTTTGGCAAAGAAGCTGTCTACATTTTGCTCCTGTCCTGAGACTTTCTGTTAGGCTAAATTTAAAGGTGATGAACTAATTAATTTGGCAGAGAAAACTTTAAGGCAGCATAGCATTGAGACAGTGGCATGGGTGTTGCTGGCAGCTTTTAGCCAAGTTTGCTTGATAACCAAGAACAGAAAGCAGAGCAGAAAGATTTGAAAAACTTGCAGTTCAACCATAAAAGTGTGAGTAAAACTGGGGTTAAGGAAGGCGTGGTTGTGAAAGAGATTACAGCCAGGAAAGAGACACTGCTAAGTACTTTACCCAGGAACAATTGGAAAAATGGCATGAGGGTATCTCAGGAACTGGCAAGACCATACCCATCTCAGAGTCAATGGTGTAAAAGTAAAAATTCCTCCAAGAAGAGACCATGGGAGCACCCTGCTCACACAGGGGGCCTAGAAAGTTGTTTCACAGTCTCAGCCACCCAGGCATTCAGAGGCTGCTGCAGCCATCATCCTAGAATGCTTGACTACTGCTTGAGATGGTGGCAGACCTTGGCATCAACACCAACCATAGTGTTGGTCCTACAGGAATGCAGGATGCTGTAGGTAGGGGGTCATGGAGGCTTCCACTAAGATTTCAAAGAAATGCCTGGGAGACTAGGCAAAGTGTAGCAGGGTCAGAGTTCCCACAAGCTGTCCCTGAGAGGGCAATGTGTGAAGATGTGAGAGGAAGCCAAAGCTGCAGTGGAGACCCTCAAGACTGGGAGATGCCGGTAACATGGAACATCTGCCAAGAAAAGCTGCAAGAATCAATAAGAAACAAGCCATGTGGACTGCCACCAGCAAAACCATAGGGGCAGAGCTACACAATCCCTTTGAAGAGAATATCACAATGCCATATGCTTCAGATGATGGATATAGAGCTACAGGATGTGTTTCCAGCTGGATTTTGGTCTTGCCTTGGTCCTATCCCTTCTTTCTATGCTGCTATTTCTCCTTTGTGGAATGGAAATGTTTACTCTATGCCATTATATATGTTTATGTAACTTGTTTTTGATCTTTATTCTCACAGCTAAGAGGTTTTCTTTTTAAATTTTTTAGTTTTTCCTAATTGATTATACATGACAGTAGAATGCATTTTGACACATCATACATAATGGAGTATAACTTCTCATTCTTCTGGTTGTACATGATGTAGAGTTGCACAGGTCGTGTAATCATATATACACACAGGGTAATAATATGTGATTCATTCTATTATCATTCTTACCCCCATACACCCTCCCCTCCCTTCACTTCCCTCTGTCTAATCCAAGGTACCTCTGTTCTCTGCCTCCCCCCCTTATTGTTAATTAGCAAACACATATCAGAGAAAACATTTGGTACTTTGTGACTGGCTTATTTCACTTAGCATAATATTCTCCAGTTCCATCCATATACTGGCAAACGTCATAATTTCATTCTTCTTTAAGGATGAATAATATTCTATTGTGTATATATACCACAATTTCTTTATCCATCTGTTGAAGGGCACCTAGGTTGGTTCCATAGTTTAGCTATTGTGAATTGAGCTGCTATAAAACAGCTAAGAGTTTGTTTTGAGTCTCAAACAAAATTTTTAAAAATATATTTTTAGATGACACAAGACCTTTATTTATTTGTATGTGGTGCTGAGAATTGAACCCAGAGCCTAAAACATGCTAGGTAAACGCTCTACCACTGAGCCACAACCCTCAAACAAGAGTTTTGACCTGGAGTTTTGAGCAATGCTAAATATATGGGGACTCTTGGAAATGGGCTAAATGTTATTTTGAATTATGAGATGGGCATGAACTTTCAGGGGCTAGGGGCAGAATGTTATGGTTTAGATATGAGGTGCCTCCCAAAATCTCATGTGTGAGACAATGCAAAAAAATCCAGAGATGGAATGATTGGATTATGAGAACCTTAACCTAATCAGTGCATTAATCCACTGCTATAGATTAACTGGGAGATAACTATAGACAGGGAGTGGCTGAAAGAAGGTCACTGGGGGCATACCTTTTGGGTTTATATTTTGTCCCTGGTGAGTAGGACTCTCTGTTTGCATGCATCCTGGTTGCCATTCCAAGCTGCTTTCCTCCACCATGCCCTTCTGCTACAATGTTCTGCCTCAGCTTGGGCCCAAAGCTATGAAGTCAGCTATCTGAGACCTCTAACCCTGTGAACCAAAATAAACTTTTCTTCCTCTAATTGTCTGACACATAGTACATGCTCACAAGTTATTCTTTTCAGATCTTTTGGTCACAGCAACAAAAAAGATGACTAAATCCTATGTCTTCTCTGGAAAAGTATATATTTAAGTCATTTTCCCATTTTTTTAAATTGGATTTTTGGGGTGGGAGGTTTTGCTTAATGTAGTTCCTTACATAGAGGAATGTTTAATATCATATTTTTTTCTAAATTTAAGATCCTGTAACCAATATGGGCATCAATTGAAGACTTATTCACTCTATTAATTGTTATGGTACTACATACTACAGAACATTATGCATCTACTTAAATGAATGAATCAGATTTATATATGCTAACTTGGAGTGATGTTCATGATGAAAATTTTTTAAAATGTTTTTTAGTTGTAGATGGACATAAGACCTTTATGTATTTTTTAAGTGGTGCTGAGGATTGAACCTAGTGCCGCACATGGGCAAGGCAAAAATGGTTTACCACTGAGCTACAACCCTAGCCCATCATGATGAAATCTTTAAGGGCAGAAATTCAGTGGTAGTATAGAGGTTTTATGTGATTCTACCTTTATACACACACACACACTGTGTATATATATGGATATATATATATATCCATATATATAAAAGTATATATGTTGTTTACTATCTTTCTCCTCATACTGGCATAAGTATTTGTTGAGGGAATTTTTGCCTATTTCATTCATTGCTGTATCTAACCTGTACCTAAAACAGTGTCTGACACATAGTACATGCTCACAGTTATTTTATTCAGTGAATTAATAAGTGCTTATCTCTTTTTGTATGAGCAAGGAGAAGAAGGTGAAAGAGGTCATTCATGGCTGTTAGTTTTAAATACTTCTGGGGAAAAGGATTATTGAAAAGTAAAGGAGAGGGGTTGGGGTTGTGGCTCAGTGGTAGCATGCTTGCCTAGCATGCATGAGGCACTGGTTTCGATTTTCAGCACCACATACAAATAAGTGAACATAAAAGTTCATCAACAACTAAAAAAAATTTTAAAAAAAGAAAAGTAAAAGGAGAGTGAAGGTAATTAACATTTTCTTTATCTTCCTTTTTTAATCTGTTAACAATAAACATATTAGTTTCATAATGTAAAAATTCTAAAAAGATAGTGTTACAGGGAGAAAAGGAAGATAAACTATGAATGTCATTGTCATCACATGAAGAAATACTCAACATTTTAGTTCTATACACTTCTGGGTAGAGAAGAGAAGAAGGGGAAAGACAAACAGGGCTGTTTGAGGAACATAGAAGGCTACAGGTTAGGGAACACTGAGTGGGTGTGAAGACTTTCTTTTCTTTATATTTAGTTACATTTGTGGGTATTGGCTGCTTTAACTGTATTAAAAGATGTATAAATTGGAAATTGCTCCTTTGGTATCAAATATGGGTGTATTCATCATTTGGTGTCTAGAACTAATTCGTTTTGTTTAAACCAATGGGTAACTGTGTAAGTGACTGCCTTCACCTCTGTGGCTGCTCTTAATCACTTATAACTGGTCTACTGGATCACCAATAACAGTGTTTGGTATTTTCTGAATATATTCACCTTTGGTGAAGAGGGCTCATGCATGTTGAACTAGTTACTCGGTACTGGAAAAATCGTGGGTTCATACCATAACTCAGTCTGATGTAAGCTCCACGATTGCTGCCTTCTTCGTAATAATTAGAAGCAGAAAATATGGTAATAACCTGATTAGTAAAAAAGAGAATCAGGTTCATAAAATTAGTTCTCAAAAGTTTATTCAATAAAGTCAGAAATAGCTTAATTATTAAAAAGCAAAAATTAAACACAGTTCATAATTTCTGCAAATTATCCAAGTCTAACATGATTTCTTAAAGAGTCCACTGGAGGAAAACAAAGGTTTTCACTCGGTGTCTCCAGGAGTACTACCTCCTAGACACTCATTCAATATCTCCAGTGCATGACCGTGTATAATTTTAGTGCCAGATCTTAGAATCCTCTTCAGTGTTTGGTTTTGCAAATTCTAATTTTCCAAGGCGATAAATCCCTTATTTTCTTATCTTGTTACATCTGAGCATTCAAAATAAAACTTGTCTAGTAGCTCAGTCTTTTTCTTTTGCTTGGAGCTGAGTAACTTCATTCATTGAATAAGACAACTTAGAGGGTTCAAAGCTCAACAAAGCCAGTGCTTTAAGGGCAGAGAAATAGTGCCAAGACTATGAAACCATGACCACTGTCTTGGGAAGGAACAAGCCTTAGGAGTATGGTGGAATATGGAAAGAAATACTTGTCAGTGACAGAAAACCTGGCTTAGGCCCAATTCTGTCATAATAAGCATGTCATTTCAGATAAACCACTGCTATTTTCTATCCATTGTCTCATTATAAAGAAGTCCTAAAAATACTCACTTTACTTATCTTACAATATTAGTATGAGCCTAAAATAAATTAATAGTTAAGAAAAAGCAAAGGAAGAAATGTCACACAATTTGGTATTGATTGTTATTTATTGCTCTTCACTATAGAAAAAGAGGCTAACCAGGTCAATGGAGGAGGACGGGAATCATCTCCTCAGTCCTCACCACTTCTAACCTTATTAACATCACTGAAGGAGCAGAATACACTCCATTCTCATGGCTACAGCAAAACTAACCATGGAGAGCTACTGGCAGGAGACTGCCTATTCAGCCAGTTGAAGGAAAGTGTTTTGTACTCTGCACAAGGAATGTGCAAAAAGTGGAAGAGAACAAAGTAGATTCACTGCTGCCTTCCATGTACTCTGTGAGGAAAAGTACATTCTTGAGTTGTATTACAATAAGAATGAAGCCTCTGTGTGTGTGTGTGTGTGTACTTAGTGCCATGTGTCAGAATTTCATTAATCTGTTTTTGGGATTAATAAAGATCAGCAAATAAGTCAAATATCTCTTAGGGTATGGGAGAGTGAGGGCCTTTCAAACAACCTATATATGAACCCGCCAGTGTCTGCTTTTTGTTTGGTACTAGGAAAGATATCTTCTTATGGGCTCCTAGTTCAGACACTCTCTGTGATGAGAAGACTCTATTCTTGGAGGAAGTATGTCTGTGAGGATGTCACCAACAATGTTAGCTTACCTTCCCATCATGGCAGATTTCATACCCATCATGCTTACATTCATGAGACCTAATGAGCATCTTCAACTGGTATTTATTGAGAATCTTAGAGGTAACGTCTGGTCCAAAATAGCAGCCTCCTCCTCGACTTGTGTTTGGATAACAGCCTTTTCTTCCTCTGGGGTCACTCCACAGAATGTCAACAACCTTGGAAGAACAAACCAAATTAGGCTGCTCCCTATAAGTGAGAGTCTGTCTTTCTAGATTCCAACTTATTTACCAGATATACTAACCCAAAGTATACCAAAGGCTCTTTTCCATTCCTCCTTTAAAATTGCTTCATACTCATCTACTCCATGCATCCTTTCCAGAATAATTTTTCTTAAGTACTGGGGATTAAACCCACGGGCACTCTACCACTGAGCTCTGTCCCTAGGCCTTTTTATTTTGAGATAGGGTCTAAGTTGCTGAAGCTGGCCTTGAACTTGCAATCCTCCTGCCTCAGCCTCTAAATTGCTGCGATTACAGGCATGCAGTAAAGTTGTTGGGATTACAGGAGTGGGTCAACACATTTGTCCATTCTTTTCTTTTAAAATAGTTTCATTGTCATGTTCACAGAAGAAAGTAGTTCCCCATAAGGAACACATTAGGCATTCTTAATATAGTCAAAGAAATTAGTTAGCTCACCCAGCTGGGACTTGGGCCTGGAGCTTTTGTCTTGTTGAACAAACAGCCTGAGGAAGCGCTTGCTCTTTCCCACCACAAACAGAGAAAGCTGTTCACTCAAGAACATTCTTAAAGAACCTTCTTCCCCTTTTACCAACTTGATATGGACATTCTCAGTTTCAGCAATATATTTGCTCAATGACTTATTTCTACCAGGTATTCTCCTAAATCCATAGAGTTTTATTAGCGTAACATTTCTTTTGGGGTAAGTGTGTGGAAGAGGCAAGCACATGTCACATGATACCCAGGACAGAATACCCAAGTTTCTAAGAATATTTTTCATGAAAATTTGGAAGCTCTTTCTTTACAGCTCCAATGTACAAGTGTAACATGTCTTTATTTAAACTTCTCCTATAAGAACTTCAAGAGCAGTAATAAAAACTACCTTTGTCACTAAAGATAGCAACAACCCTAGGAAAACTCTCTGGGTCCCACATTTAAAATCTTTTAAATCTGACATTTGGGCCAGTTGATCAGTAAAGTACCTCAAAGTTCTAACATGCTATAATTCTGAAAGTCTATATTTTCCACATTTCGTTTTTTCTTTTGGTTTTGGTTTTTGATGCTGGTGCTGGTAATTGAACCTAGGACCTCAAGTGCTGGGTATCCTGGGCAAGTGTTTTACTGCCGAGTATACCTTTAGCCCTTCTACCTCCACATGTTTCTTTTGAGGGCATGAAAAAGCATGCATTTTAAGTTGTGCAGTTATTCTAGTAGGACCAAATCAGGTCTTAAGAACCCAAAATGGTTGCTCTACTAAATCTGACTGTGTATCCATTACAGGTTTAGTATTGAAGGGAAACTAGAAATAAATGAGGGAAAGGGCAGTGAGGTGGAAAGAACAGAACTGGCAGGACAACCACCCTGGAATGGTCAGCATTTGGTCAAAACTAGAGAAATCCTGCACAAGGCACAGATCAGACACTTGCAGCTTTTTGAAGATTGATTGAGTTCAAAATAAAAACCACTCCAAAAAAGAATCAACCCTAGCAGTTTCCTTACCCCTCACTGAATTCTAACATGGGCACAACCAGTACAAATAAATACAATGCAACACCTTTACTATGCTGCTGTTTATGACAAAAATAGCATTTGCATTTTAAACTGAGTCATATCTGGCTTTTACACCAACTAATTCATCTTTGACCTGCAGTATAACGAAGGCTCAAACACAAAACACAAGGGGTTGTATTTTATTAGGAAGGGATTAAGTTTTCAATTCCTACAAGAATATGAATCATTTATAGAAAAATTATCCCTGGAAAAACCTCTTAAATTATCCTGAAAGTACATTATACGTGGTTTTATCTATATAATCCTATACAATAATTATGTTTATGTATATACATATAAAATAGTATGTAAAAAAGACTATTTACAAAAATAAATTTTTACAGTATTTTTCTTTTTTTGCCCTCTTTGCCATATATGACAGTTGAAATCTACATAAATTAAACCTACATATGATGGAACTCTGTTGAACTAGAATAAGCACTGGTCAAGAACTCATCTCTTCAAGTAATTATCTATGTCCTCTTGGGCAAATCACTTCACCTATTTTGGTCTCAGTTGTTATTAATGAAATGAAAAATATATATCTAAAACTTATTTTCTTTGATTCAAGATCATAAGGGATAACAATTTCAAGAAATGAGCATCTCTATCAGAATCCATTCCATGAAATCTCCATTTTGTGTATGGGGATAAGGGGTACTGGGGACTATATATTTCTTATCTGTTTAGAAATTATTCATTTGACTAGGTTTTCTTAGACTATAGTTGTAACATAGGTTTAATTCTGGAGCTCACAAACAAACAAAAATGCTATTAAGGGCTCTTTTTAAGTGAAATAAATTTTTCCATAGAAACCATCTCTTTTTTTCTTAACAACAACCTATCCTCTGAGATGCAGGAGTCTTAGGATGGTAACTGCATGAGAGATTAAGTATTTGCAACATTTTTTACTAATAATTTTCAAACCAAAAAGTGGGAAACTTTCACTGACATATGGATTTTAATGATCAGAATGACAAATATCTATTTGTGTCTCAGCCTTTTAAATCTCCTCAATCTTAAATAAATCAAAAACACATGAGATTCCACCATACTCCCTCTAGGATGGCTACAATCAAAAGGGTGTAGTTCAGTGGTAATGCATATGCTTGACAAGTGCAAGGCCCTAGGTTTAATCTCCAGCATCAAAAGAGTCGGGGGTACAGACAGGCAATAGTAAGTGCTGGTGAGAATGGAGGAGAAATTAGAACTTCATTGCTGATGGGAATGTAAAATGGTATAGCCACTTGGGCTAACAGTTTGGAACTTTTTCAAAATATTTAACTTTAGGGTTATCTTATCATTCAGCAATTCATATTGAGTATGTACTGCATATATATACTCAAGAGAAATGAAAAGATATGTGCATATAAAAACTTGCATGTTGTATGCGAATGTTCATAAAGGCATTATTCATAACAGTAAAAAAATGGAAATCAACCCAAATGTCCATGAGCCAATAAATGAATAAATACAATATGATCTACCCATATAGAACATCATTCAACAATTAAAAGAAATAAAGTACTGACATATGCTACAACATGGATGAACCTAAAGAACATTGTGCTGAGTAAAAGATTCCAGACATGAAAGATCACATATTGTATGTGCCCATTACAATAAAATGTTCAGAATTAGCATATCTATAAAGACAGAAAGCAGGTTAATGGTTGCCTAGGGTTGGGGGGGGACAGGAAAAGGGGAGAATGGAGAGTGACTGCTAATAGGTATGGGGTTTCTTTCTTCACTGAAAAAAATGTTCTCAAATTAGACTGTAGTGATAGTTGTAAGTTTACTAAAAACTACTGAATTATATACCCTAAATCGGTAATTTATATGATATATGAATTATATCTCAATAAAAGTATCAAAATGCAGTGATGAATTCTGAGAGAATCGTATGGTTTGCTTATAAAGGTAAGTTACTTTTATCTATATATTGTAAGGTACAACATCATCTATGCTGGTGTCTTCATTGCCACTCTGGGAACACTTTAATTACCTACCTGCTCCCATTCATGCTTTGATAACTGTTGAGAAGGGAAACCATTTGATTTGACTTTTCCTGATGAAGTAACAGTAATGTCCCCTTTACTTTTCTTAGAGTCGGTGGCATGGCCTCTATTTATTGACACTGGTGGCATCAGCACAGATCTCATCTATAAAACAAATTCATGTTTTAGTGAAATACTCTGCTTATTGTGCTGCATGCAGACACTTCAGTAACAGTTAGGATTCTGTCTATATTGGTGTGCCTCAACCCAATGAAAAACACACAGAAACCTTTTCTGACTCTCCTACCTCCTATGACTCGTTGACCCACTGTTGTCTGTAAAGTGGGCCTGTTAAATTCTGTTTGCACATTTTTCAACTAAAGACACCGCACTACAGGGAAAGACTCACATTAAAGTTTCTAAAGGATACCAGAGGCACATATACGTATGCAGGTGCTAAACAGCTTCTAAGGCACCATCACAGGAAATGAAAGATGTTAAGTGCAGGGAAAACTAGTCCCCCTCTGAGCCTTCATCTGGAGCTTGGAGGAGTTCAGAAAAATCTATTAAAAGGACAACTGCTTTTCATTTTGTTGTATTTTGCAGGAGAAATGAAAAAAAAGTACATCTGTATCAGAAAAGTTCTAAATGGGACATGGATTAAAAACTTTGGAAGCCCTTAACGTAAATGTACTGTAGTTCTCAGTCTGACCTGTCAGCAATTGATTATGTTCTCTAACAACACTCCAGTGTTACTTTGGAAAATAAAATGTCTTTCTGATAGAATTTCAACTATTCTAATCCCTCTGCATTCCCTTATACAACCTGAAATAATAATTTTATTCTTGTGTCTTTGTAGCACCATACCTTAACACAAAGCAATTTCAATCAATACTTCTGCTACACTGGTGACCACAGCTCACTATTCTCTGGAGTAGGTACCTAGTTTCTACTAAAAACTATGGTATGTATGAAATCTTTTCAAAAATAAAATTGAGGCTGGATATGATAGCACAGGCCTATTAATTCTCAGGAGGAGAGACAAGAAGGATTCCAAGTTTAAGGCCAGCCTCAGCAACTTAGCAAGATCCTGCCTCAAAAAAAAAAAAAAAAAAGGATCTTATTCTAAAGCCTTGTCTCACTGAGCTTGTTGGAAATTTCTATCTCAGCTATTATTAGCCAGTTCAGAGCCTACCTTTTCTGTCATTCCCAGGCAAATATCCTCAGGTTTTAGGCAGACCAGAATATTCTAGGAAAGCCCTCTGAATCTAGGTCAACACAATTCACTTCTGATAAACTCATAGGGCAAGGCCACATGGTTCCTTAAGTCTGTGCTATTCTGCAGTTTTCAAGACCACTTAGGATTTTGAGATAATGTTGCCTAGCTCCTCTAAGGCATCACATCACCATTTTTTCTTGGGAGTCCTACTAGCCATTGTTTATATTTCTTCTTTTGAAATACTCACTGCTGGGGAGTTCAAGAATACCAGAGATTTAGTCTTATAGAGTTTTTCTTTTCTATCCCTCTACATTGACCTCCAACCTGCTCATCATCCAAAATCCTTTCAATTAATTTAGAAGAGAAGTTGCCATTAGGTTTCCTCAACACTACCCCTCCCTTATTAAATTATACCACCACCACAGGTACAAACCAGGAAGTGTGATAATCTGACAATTGAAGGGTCCTATGGAATAAGAACATGGGGATTATAAAACTGAACTTTGAAATCTACCTTTGTATCTTATCTGATAGAGTTCCAGAAGCTCAAGACTACTACTTTCATCACAGTTTAATTATATTTATTTAATATAAATTTATACTGTTAGTTCTTACACTAGTAGGGATATAAGACACAAGATATATATATCTATATATCTATATATCTATCTATCTATCTATCTATCTATCTATCTATATATATATATATATATATATATATATATCAAGTTTTTAAATAAAACCAGTCTTATGAGCCAGTGGAACAGTGATCCCTGAAGGGGATGAAATTTGAAGCATCCTGGGAAAATTGCTAGCTCAAAAATGTCCCTTAGGGTCTGTCCTAATCACTGAAATTCAGACTTCAGATCCAAATATCAGGAAAAAGACAAAAGGGAGAATCAGAGAGCTATATGTTTAGTATTATTATACGTTTTCTTCATCTAGGTTAATAATTTAATCTTCACAATAATCTAAAGTGATATTTCTAACTTATTGGTGTAGGAACTGAGACTTAGAAAACTTCAGTGCCTTATCCAATCACCATCCAAGAAATGGCAGAAGCAGGATATAAATCTGACTATGTCTGATATCAGAATTTCTAGTCTTTACTACATCAGGGTAGCTCTCAACATAGGGTCTCCACAGAGCTAGGGTAGCCATTCCAGAGACTTGTTTGCAATACCTCAAAAAGCCTTACATGAGGCTGGATGCTCAGGCTAACCTCAGGAAAGTAAATTTTCATTCTGAGCCATTGGTAGTGGCTGCCATGGTTGATTAGTGCAGTAGTCACAGGGTGGGTGGTGGAGAGTATAGCATTCATGCCATGTGCTTGCCAATATTTGACAGACAAAAACACCATGTTCCTTTGTTCTTGGCAAGAATCATATCTACTGTGTTTTTTTAATGTTTAGCCTTTATTTTAAACAAAGATGAATCCTAATCTATAGAAAAGAAAAATCACTCTGGTTCACACTTTTAAACACATCTTATGAAAATTATAAAATCACTTTATTCTTTTTAGTTGTACATGACAGTAGAATCTATGTTTTGACATTTATATAAGCATGAAATATATATATTATTCTAATTAGGATCCCAGTCTTGTGGATATACACTATTTTGCGATTCACTGTGGTGTATTCATATATGTACATAGGAAAGTTATGTCAGATTCATTCCACTGTCTTTCCTGTTCTTCCTCCCCTCCCTTCCCTTTATTCCCCTTTGTATAATCCCCTGAACTTCTATTCTTCCTCTCCCCCTCTTATTGTGGATTAGCATCCACATATCAGGGAGAACATTCATTCTCTTGTTTTGGGGGAATTAGCTTATTTCACTTAGCAGATAGTCTCCAGATCCACTTATTTACTGGCAAATACCACAAAGTCATTCTTTATGGCTGAGTAATATTCCATTGTGTATAATACCACAATTTCTTTATCTATTAATCTGTTGATGGGCATCTAGATTGGTTCCACGGCTTAGCTATTGTACATTGTGCTGCTATAATATAAACATTGATGTGGCTGTACACTGTACTACACTGATTTTTAACTCCTTTGGATATATACCATGAAGTGGAATAACTTGGTCAAATGGTGGTTCTATTCCTAGTTTTTTGAGGAATCTTCATACTGCTTTCCAGAGTGGTTGCACTAATTTTCAGCCCCACCAACAATATATGAATATACCCTTTTCCCCACCTCCTCACCAACATTTACTGTTACTCGTATTCTTGATAATTGCCTTTCTGACTGGACTGAGATGAAATCTCAGTGTAGTTTTAATTTGCATTCCTTTAGTTGCTAGAGATGTTGAACATTTTTCATATATTTATTGACCATTTGTATTTCTTCTTTTGAAAAGCATCTGTTTAGTTCCTTTGCCCACTTATCGATTGGATTATTTATTTTTGGTATTAAGCTTTTTGAGTTCTTTGTATATACTGGAAATTAATACCTTATCTGAGGTGTGGATGGCAAAGCTTTTCTCCCATTCTTTAGGTTATCTCTTCATGCTCTTGATTGTTTCCTTTGCTGTAAAGAAGCTTTTTAGTTTGATATCATTCCATTTGTTGATTTTTTTATATTACTTCTTGTGCTTTAGGAATCTTGTTGGGGAAGTCATTTCCTAAGTTGACAGATTGAAGTGTTGGGCCTACATTTTCTTCTAGTAGGTGCAGGGTTTCCAGTCTAGTACCTAGGTCTTTGATCCACTTTAAGTTTTGTGCAGGGTGAGAGATAGGAGAGGTTAAATTTCATTCTACTACATATAGATTAATTTTATATCCTGCTATTATGCTGATATCCCAGCACCATTTGTTGAAGAGGCTATCTTTTCTCCAAAATACATTTTTGGCACCTTTGTCGAGTATAAGAGAATTGTATTTATATGGGTTTGTCTCTATGTCTTCTATTCTGTACCATTGGTCTACATGTGTTTTGGTGTCAGTACCATGATGTTTTTGTTATTATAGCTCTGTAGTATAATTTAAGGTCAGGTGATGTAATGCCTCCTGCTTCGCTTTTCTTGCTAAGGATTGCTTTGGCTATTCCGGGCCTCTTAGTTTTCCAAATGAATTTCATGACTGCTTTTCCTATATCTATAAAGCATGTCATTGCAATTTTAATAGGAATTGCATTAAATTTGTATAGCACTTTTGATAGTTTGGCCATTTTGACAATATTAATTCTGCCTATCCAAGATCATGGGAGATCTTTCCATTGTCTAAGATCTTCTTCAATTTCTTTTGTTAGTGTTCTGTAGTTTTCCATTGTAAAGGTCTTTCACCTCTTTTGTTAAGTTGATTCTCAAGTTTGTTTGTTTTGTTTTAGGCTATTGTGAATAGAATAGTTTTCCTAATTTCTCTTTCAGCTGATTCATCACTGGTGTATAGGAACACAATTAACATGAGTGTTAATTTTATATCCTGCTACTATACTGAATTAATTTATGAGCTATAGAAGTGTTCTAAGTCCTCTAAATATAGGATAATGTTGTCAGCAAATAGAGATAGTTAGAGCTCTTCTTTTGCTATTCATATCCCTTTAATTTCTTTCTTTTGCCTAATTGTTCTAGTTAGAGTTTCAGGAACTATGTTGAATATAAGTGCCTTGTTCCAGTTTTTAGAGAGAATGCTTTCAGTTTTTCTCCATTTAGAATGATGTTGGCCTTGGGTTTGTCATATATAGCTTTTACAATGTTGAGATATGTTCCTACTTGCCCTAGATTTTCTCATGATTTAAACATGAATGGATGCTGTATTTTGTCAAATGCTTTTTCTGTATCTATTGAGATCATCATGTGATCCTTGTCTTTAAATCTATTTATGTGGTGCATTATATTTATTGATTTCCATATGAACCAACCTTGCATCCCTGGGACGAAACACTCTTGATCATGGTGCAATATTTTAACATGTTTTTTATGCAATTTGCCAGTATTTTATTAAGAATTTTTGTTATCTTATGTTCATCAGAAATATTGGTCTGAAGCTTTCTTTCCTTGATGTGTCTTTAACTAGTTTTGGTATCAGGGTAATACTAGCTTCATAGAATAAATTTGGAAGGGTTCCCTCCTTTTCTATTTCATGGAATAATTTGAGGAGAATTGGTGTTAGTTCTTCTTTAAAGGTCTTATAGAACTCAGCTGAGAATCCACCCAGTCCTAGGCTTTTCTTGGTTGGAAGGCTTTTGATGGCATTCTCAATTTCATTACTTGAAATTGATCTGTTTAAACTTTCTATAGCCTCCTGGTTCAATTTGGGTAGGTTATAAGTCTCTAGAAATTTGTTGACGTCTTCAAGATTTTCTAATTTATTGAATAATAGATTTTCAAAATAGTTTGATTATTCTCTGTATTTCAATAGTGTCTGTGGTGATATTTCCTTTTTTATTGGTTATTCAAAACATTACAAAGATTGCAGAATCACATCGGTTACACATCCACATTTTTACATAATGCCATAATAGTAACTGTTGTATTTATTCTGCTACCTTCCCTATCTTCTACTATCCCCCCTCCCCTCCCATCTTCTCTCTCTACCCCATCTACTGTAATTCATTTCTCTCCTTATTTTTTCCCATTTCCTTTTTTTGTCACCAATTTTAATAATTTGAGTTCTTTCCCTCTTTCTTTTGGTTAGCTTGGCTAAAGGTTTATAGATTTTGTTTATTTTTTCAAAGAACCAACTTTTGTTTCATTGATTTTTGAATTTTTAAAATTTCTACTTCATTGATTTCAGTTCTCCACTAAGTTTATACTGACTCTCTCATCTTGATCAAAGCATCTTATTGACTTGACTATTCACTGATATTGTAAGAAAGAGGACCTTAAACTTAGGATGACCTTACAATTTATTGCAACTGGGATACTATTTTAGAGTAGAAGGAGGCACTATTAACAATTAAACCAGGACAAATGTATAATCCAGTTAGTACGGAAGTCACTCAGTGAAATGGGCAAAGAGGTATATAAAATCACCATAGATATTGGTTTATACCCAAAAGACTTAAAATTAATGTTTACAGTGATGCAGCCACATCAATGTTTGTAGTAGCTCCATTCACAATAGCTAAACTATGGAACAAAAGTAGGTGTCCTTCAATAAATGAATGGATGAAGAAAATATGGTATGTATACACAATGGAGTATTACTCAGCCTTAAAGAAGAATGAAAAGATGGTAGTTGCTGGTAAATGTATGGAGCTGGAAAATATCATGATAATCAAAATAAGCCAATCCCCCAAAAAACAAAAGCTAAATGTTTTCTCTGATATGCAGATGCTAACTCACAATAGGGGGGAGTGGGAGCTGGGGAAGAATAGAGTAACTTTAGATTAGGTAGAGGGAAGTGAAGGGAGGGGAGGGGGTTTAGGGGTAAGAAGGATAGTAGAATGAATCAGACATTATTATCCTATATACATATATATAACTATACGACCAATGTGATTCTATATCATGTACAACAAGAAGAATGAGAAATTATACTTCATTATATATGATGTAGCAAAGTGCGTTCTACTGTTATGTGTAACCAATTAAAATAAATTTTAAAAATTAAAAAAATCACCATAGACTCACAAAAGTTATTATAAAAATGTTTCTATCCAATTTTGTCTTAGGTTTGCCCTGCTTTAGTCTTAAATCTCTTGAGAAGTATTTAGTGAATATTAAGTACTTACTATATCTCAGGTGCTGAGGTATTATCAGTGAACTGGAGAAGTGGGGAGATATAGTAAAGAATAGTCCCATGAATCCTTATTAATTATGGTGACTGTTACAAAGCATATATATAAGAGGCTTGAGAGTATATAAAGGGCATCTGACCTAGTTTAGGTATATTAAGCTTAAATTAAAAGTATGAAAAGATGATAACACTAATATTATCATTCACATGTATATAAAGGTATAGAGGCTCCAAAAGGTGCAATGGGATCACATTTCTGTCTCTATCAGATTCAATTCCAGTTCTAGATCCCCCTGTGTAGATTGGTTGAAAGTTGACTATAATTCCTGAGGTGTAATGGTTCAGATTTCCCACTAAGACTATATGCCACTGTTTGGCTTCACAGCTCTATTGGTCCTCATGCCCATGTGGCACCCCTTATGTTGCTAGTATGCACACTCCAGCTTGGCTCTGGTAGAGGAGGAAGACAACTCCTGTTTCCCTATAAGTCCCATTAAGAAGCCCTTCACTAGGTGTGGAATATTTTCAGATACCACATAGCCACTTCTCTCAGAGGTTCTATTCAGGTTCCTTTTTGGCCTCTGCTGTATTTAATATGCTTATTTACAGTTAAAGTATTTAAAAATAATTATCCTGATCAATCTGAAGTATAAGGGAAATCATATCAATTTAAAAAACTGCTATATGATTCTACTTATATCAGGTACCTAGAGTAGTCAAATTCATAGAAACAGAAAGTAGAATATTGGTTACTGTGGCTGGAAAGGGGAGGAGAATGGGGAGTTATTGTATAATGGGTATGGTTTCAGTCTTGGAAGATGAACAGTTTTGTATATGGATGGTGGTCACAGTGGTGATGGTTGCACAACAATGTGAGTGTACTTAATGCCACTGAATTATACACTTTAAAATGGTTACAGTGGTAAATTTTATGTCACATGCATTTTACCACCATGTAAATGAATTAATGGATATTTTAACTTTTAAAAATCAGAAGTTTTTTCACTTTTAGAAACTATATAAAATGCTAGCATGTCCTCATTTTTCCATTTTCAGCATGAATTTTTTAAAAAAATACTTTCCACATATAGATGTTACCCATTTAGTTTTTTATTATGCATGCAATCATAGATTTTCTCAAAATTTGTACTAATCTTTTCAGAATTAAAGTCACCACTAAAATTCAAATCAATTCAAAATGATAAATGAAAAGAGGTATACATATTCTATTATAAACCTCTGAGATAAGATTCATGCAAATATTACTTCTTACTTTGCTTCTCTCTAGGCGGTGGAGTAAATTCAAATCTGTGGACTCTGATATCCCGCCATGTATCACCAGAATTTCATTGTCAATAATTGTACCAATTGGGAGCAAGGTATAGACTTCTTCCAAGATTTGCAAGATTTTTTTTCCATGCAGCTGTAAGTAAGAGCTTGAGTAAGTTTTATTTTTCTGATAGGTCCAGATTATTGAACAGTCCCAATGCATGGACAAAAAGCAAATTTTCATACCACACCAAGGAAGTCACCCCAGAGTCACTAACCAACTACCATTTATTAATCATGGTTTTTATTCTGTATTTTTGATACTTTGACATCTTGGGGAGTGCCAATCCTACAGAAGAGTCTGCCCCTCTTCAGGGCTAACTAATTACTAGAAACAATAAATGATTCACCTTTCACATGAAAACCAACTAATCCAGAGCCCACATCTTCAATAACATCTTTCATTAGGCTCTCACACTTAAGGCCAATATGTCTCTACTCACCCAGGGCCAGGTACCAGACAACTAGGGATAACTCATGCTCCAGAGCAAGCTGACATTATTCAAACTAGTCAATCTTAAATCTGATTACACTGAGACCCTTTGTCAGTTCCTTCCCATGAAAACCACAATAAAGTTTCTTGTCCATGTTACCCTGGCTCCCTCTGCCTTCTGATGGACTCTGGTACTTCCCCACATGGTCCACCCAGTGTGGTATGTAGTGCCTCCTATTTCTAGGGAACTGTGAATAAAAACCTTTTCTTTCATAACAGTCATTTCTGAGTCTGCCTATTTTACCATACCTGAGTTAAAAAAAAAATCCCCAAGTGGGTACCTTTAAAGAAATGGACTGTTTGTATCTACACTGAAACCAACACAAAAGTCACAATGAAAAAGTGTGGTTTAGTCCAAGTGGAGTGGGGGGGAGGACTCTGAGTGGTGAGAGCTTCTTGCTGTTCCTCTATTTTATTGGCATGAATTCTGACTAACTGGCCCATCACCTTTCCTAAAGCAACAATCTGTTCTTTATTGACTGTTTTTAATGTCTATGCATAAACAACAAAGAGAATGCAAAAAAAATTAAAAAGTTTTGAGTCTTACCTTGTATTTAAACAAGATTTCTCTTGTGAAGCCATACCTTAAAAAGGGGGGAGCAGTTAAACAATTAATTGTTGATAATTCCTATTTACATGAATCATACAAAAAAGGGAGTCCTTGATATCTCACTATCCCCAGTACTAGGAACTCAAGAAATTAGGTTTCAGTTGAACTGTTACTTTAGTCTTTGATAGGCATGATAGGAAAGAACAAAAGCAATGAATGACATGTTCCCACCCTCAAGGAGATTATACCATATTGGGAAAAGAAAATACATTTTCATGAACTAACTTTAAGACAACTTAGAAAATAGGTATGAGCTGTGTAAAGATTGCAAGTCTTTTGAAAGTTTACTGCAGCAGCTGAGGAAGCTGTGTGGGAGAAGGTTTTTCATTTAGATAGGATTTCTCAGACATCCTATATCTTACAGTAAATGATCAGAAAAAAGAAAAGATTGAACAAAAATGAACAAAAGCCCAGATGATAACAAGTTGGCTCTTTATGCTTTCTCTGATATAGGTCACGTAATGAATGGTATTCAGGGTCTTAACAGAAAGTATCGGGAACATTAATGCCTGACTAGCAGTAGCTAAGAGAGATTTAATAATGGAAAATTTTTCAATTACTTTTCCTTGCTTTAGGATAACAGTATGTACACTTAATATCCAACAAGGTAAAGTAGAAAGAGCACACTTACCCTAAGTTTCCATGCAAATCATGTCACGCCAGGCTTCTACAATAATGGAGACAAATTCCTCCCAAAGCTCACCAAAGGTGTGCATGTTGTTAAACCAATATACACTTTGTAGTCCTTACATTTCTCATCCTCTCTGAAACACTAAATACATTGACTATACCATCCTTCTGGAAAACTCCACTTAGATTTTGTGACAGAAAACTCTTGGTTTTCCTCCTACTTTTCTGGCTATTCTGAATCTCCCTTGCAAGTTCTTCTCCTCCACATAGTCTTAAATCCTTCAGATTCTGTCCCCAATCCTCTCCTACCTTCACTTTCTGCCTTAACAATCACATCCCTGTCCATTCAGGGTTTCAGTTAATACCTATTGTCAATATCACAGAGTCATACTCCAGGCTACACTTACTTTCTGATGTCTGCACATAAAATCAACTGTCTACTCATCAGCATCTCGGATCAATTTACCCCAAACTGAACTTATCATTCTCCTTCTGAATGATTCCAGACTATACCCCCAAACTCCAGCCAGGAATCTGGAAATATCCTTGATTTCTTCCTCTTTCAAGTCCCCCATATCAAGTTATTGATCCTTAAGTCTTCATTGCCTAAAGTCCTCTTGAATCTATTTCTTTGCATCTCTATTACCACCACCCTAGTCTAAGTAAGAATCTATCATCTATCTCAACTACTTCCTAATTGACTTCACTGTATCCACTCTTTGCTGTTGCCCTTCTCAGTATCATTTTTCCCCCAGTACTGGGCAGTGAACCCAGGGTCTCACACATGCTACGTAAGCACTCTACCACTGACCTACTTCCACAGCCCTCTTCCTGTTAACTTTTTAAAATACAAATTTTATTATATCTTTCAATGACATTCATTTGTCCTTAGAAAATAGTGCAAATTCCTTTGTATCATCCAACCATTTCTTACATCTCCAACTCTATTAAGCACCATCCTATCCCTCATTCTATATTTCTGCCTTCCTGAACTTTCAAGTCTAAAAAGTCTTGTCTTAAACTCTGCATAAGTTATTCCTTCACTGTGAAACACTGTTCCCATCCCACCCAACATTCCTTTCTCTCAATTGCTCAATTCATCCTTCAAGTCTCAGGCTAGTATTTCCATAGGACAATTTTCCATCACCCTTCAGACAAAGTTGGATCCCTCTTTATCAACTTATTACACTTGAAAACCCTGCTCAATGTGTTTTTCCTGCTAGATATGAGCAAGGGCTATGTCTCTTTCATTAACTATTATAGGCACTAGATGAATACAATTGGCTAACTGAATAAATGAAAGGATAAATGGCATGCCCAAATAAAAGTATTGCACTATTTTATATGGGTTTCTGATAATAGTCCTGGGATTCTTTTTTTCTTCATAGTCATAGCATTTGCTTTCTTATACTTTTTTTTTTTTTTTGGCAGGATGGGGGTGGGGTACTAGGGATTGAACACAGGGGCATTCAACCACTGAGCCACATCCCCAGCCCTATTTTGTATTTTTTATTTAGAGACAGGGTCTCACTGAGTTGCTTAGCGCCTTGCTTTTGCTGAGTCTGGCTTTGAACTCACAATCCTCCTGTCTCAGCCTCCGGAAGCCACTGAGATTACAGGCATGCACCACCATGCCCCGCATTTTCTTATACTTTGAGAAATTGAAACTCTACTCCAACCAGGTGTCAAAACTACCCCAAAGACAAAACTAATCTGTTGTTGAGCTTTGATTAAGGTATTCAAAAGCCCAAGCCCAAAGGCATGAGACATGCCATACCTTCTATTGTCCTAGAACAAACTGATTTTTTTTTTCATAAAATGAGAGATGAAAAGAAAAAGGAAGAAAGGGAAAGGGAACATTTGTCACCTCCTGTACCTTTCAGCAAAAATTCTTAAACCATTTAACCAGTCTTTATTCCTGAGTCAGAGAGCTGAACTACTATATTATACCTGTTCTCAAAAAAAAAAAGTTTATTACTAAGCATTAAAAGAGAATAAAATTATGGCATTTGCAGGTAAATGGATGGAGTTGGAGAATATCATGCTAAGCAAAGTAAGCCAATCCTCCCCCAAACAAAAACAAAGGCCAAATGTTCTCTCTGATAAGTGGATGCTGGTCCATAACAGGGGTGGGGGCAGGGGTTGGAAGGGAGTGGGGGGCAGAATGTGAAAAATGGAGGAACTTTCATTGGGCAAAGGGAAAGAAGAGGAGGGAGGGTGCATGGGAGCAAGAAACATGGTGGAATGAGATGGACATCATTACCCTAGGTACATGCATGACTGCACATATGGTGTGATACTACATCATGTACAGCCAGAGAAATGAAAAGTTGTGCTATAATTATATACAATGAATTAAAATGCATTCTTCTGTCATACATACCTAATTAAAATTAATAAATTAATAAAAATGTTTATGAACAACTATGCCAGAAGTAATTACTATGTCATAAAAATACACATATTAATACAAAACATAGTGCTAGTTTCTGAGGCAATACTTGAGACAAGCCAAAAGAGTAACAATAGAACAATTCCATCTAAGTCTGCATATAAAACATATCATGCCTCCAGATTGGCCTAATACACCTATCTAACATGTAATTTGGCCTATGAAGGGTGGGCATGGGAGCAAGAGAAAGAACATGATAAAAGAGAGAAGGAAGAATAGGACTGGAAAAAAAGATAAGAAGGGGGCTTTAGAGCAACTGACCCTTAGTTGAAGACTGAGGGTGTTAAATAGGGCTCAGAATTGAGGTCTTCCTTGAGATTCCCCTCATCTCTCCTTCTCTACCCTGGCCTCTAATTCTCTACTGGATACTAAACATGGCAGTATTTTCCAGAGTGGGAAATAAAAGAGGAAATCTAAAGGCTGAGGTTACCTCATATTCATCATAAAATCCTCATGATTCCCTCTGTTCAAGTGCAGGTCATTGGGGTAGACAAGAAAACTCACAAGCAGGATCATGAGGACCTCTACGGAGTTACTGCCTCGATCTACAAAATCACCATTAAAAACATATGGGTTGTTCCCCGATGGGAGACCATTCTGTGGAAGGAAGAGAGGAGGGAAAACAAGCAGTTAAACTAATGTTGTTGTTTTAAAGTAAGGCCTTGTGTGTAACGTCCCTTTATATGGAGAAAAGAGGCCGAGTCAGTTCTTTCATTGGAAAAAATTCTGCTTACCCACTTGAGCCAGTTTCCCTCTTCCAGGGCAGGAATCTCCTGTAAGGGACCTGAAAATGAAGCTTGAGACAGGAAGATTCCAGGGAGTAAAAGGCAGGGGAATGCTCATTCTACCAACCACCTACTATGAGTTTCCTCTAAAAAAGAGCTGATAATTATCCATCAACAATTGTTACTGTCATCTCTTCTTTCTCCTCTAAAAAGAGGGAAATTTCTATCCAGTGTAGAACACTGAACTAAGAGCCAGAAATCTTTCATTCTAAGGAGCTCTACAGCTAAATTCTTTAGGCTACTATATCCTCGATTTGCAAAAGAAAGATGATACTATATTCCGCCCTAGAACACTTGTGAGAATGGATATAAAGTTACCCAGGCAAGTGGTATGACTGTGAGCAGGGCTAGTGTACTACTAAGCACACCTAGTGTCTATAGCAAGCATGCTATTCTGGCTGGTTGCTGACAGGGCCATATTAGTCATTAATATCATTCCTAAGTATGAGATACATTTTTTTCTCCAGTACCAGGGATTGAACTAGGGGTATTTTACCACTAAGCTATATCCCAATCTCTTCTTATTTTTTATTTTGAGACAGGATCTGGCTAAGTTGCTGAAGCTGACTTTGAATTTATGATTCCCTTACCTCAGTCTCCCAAGTAACTGGGATTACAGGCATGTGCCACAGCACCAGGTGAGATAATATTTTTAAAGACAATAATAGTATGAAAAGCAGCTGAGATTAGGACACAGGAATAATTTATAAGAGCTATTAATTAATTTACTTCTACACTACAAAACTAAGACAAAACAAAGGTATGTAACATGGTTACATTTTCTCGGTGTCAGACCTGATAATGAAATGTCTGAGTGCACTGCTACTTCACAGTAAGATAAGTTCAAATGTTTAAAAAATGTATTATGAAGAGAAAAATTTAGGTACCCATACATCAAAATGCATGATTTCCTTCAAAAAAATCAACCTTCAGGAAATAATAGACATTCTTAATCTTTTTCAAACTATTTTCAAATTCTTCTTTTGTTAGATTTCAAACTGCATAAGAAAGTTTTATTACTTTGTACTTAACATCCTACTTTTTATATACATTTTAGAAGGTTCATATAATAAAGTAATTGAAAAACTATTATACAGGTTATAACACATAACTTAGGGATTTCAGAAATCATTTATTCAACGTAACATGTTCTGAAGGTAAGTGGAAACAAACAAGCAGTGGCATGGTGTAATAAGACTAATACTCTAGTCCAGCTCCACTTGTTATACCCAGATATCCTTGGGCATGTTATTTTATCTTTTATTAATCTTTAAAGTGGTAATGATTACAGGGCTGGGGTTATGGCTCAGCCATAGAGCGCTTACCTACCACATGCAGGGCGCTGGGTTTGATCCTCAGCACCACATAAAAATAAAATAAAGGTATTGTGTCCAACTACAACTAAAACAATTTTTTTAAAAAAATGGTAATGATTACTTCCATACTTACCATGCAGAGCTATTTTAGAATTCAATGAGATTATATGTATAAAAACTAGAAAGCACTATACAAATTAAGAGATTCATTTTATTGTGACATCCATGCTATTTCTAATTTTAAGATTTCATAATTTTACCTTTCCTTAATATATTAATTCACACAACCTTATTCATATGGGGCTTAGATAGTGTAACCAACTGCAAAAATTTAGACTACTGCTCATCAAAACTTAAAGAAAAGGAGAAGGACTCTGACACTATTCCTTCCCCCAGGCTTCAGCTAGTTCGGATGAGTAGCTGGAAATGTTAGGAGGAGTAATAGAGGCTACAGACTATTGTGACATCCAGGTTCTGAAGGGGGCTAAACAAGCAGCAGCAAAAAACCCTGGGGTGAGAACAGAGGACGACTATGGCTGAGGGGACCCATGGACAATTCCATCTAAGTCTAAGAGGTGACTCTGCTCAGAGTATGTGGGTAGTCCTAGTTGGGTGGGTTAGAATGTTAGATCTTACTTTTCACATGCCAAAAGCTAAAAGGTCATGAATGCTTGCATTTAGGAGCACCTAGAAACATAGAGACTTCCTTTTCACATTCTTCATGAAGGAATAGAAACTGTTATGCCTCCAACTCTGGAGAGGCTTGAGCTACCTTAAGCAGAAAATAGAAAACAGAAATAAGCTAGTACTTAAGAGAATCCAGCAACCAGAGATGTGTTAAAGTAGATAACCCCTAATGTAACAGGACTGCTGGAGGAGACAGAGAACAGCTTTGTTTTTTAAATGATGAGAGGAATGTATAAGAACAAAAAATTTAAAATTCTTGGCATTAAAAATATGCTATTCAAATTTAAAATAGCAGTGGATTAGCAGAAAGAATGGTTGTAAATTACATTATTGAACTGAAAGAGTAAACAGGTGAAAAATCTCTCACACTGAACAAAAAGCAAATAATAGAACTCATAAAGAATAAATACTTGAGACTAGAGTTTCAGAGCCAAGAGACCTAATGTGCCAATAATAAGCATTCTAGAATCAAGGAGAAAAAAAAAGAAGTTGGAAAAGAAATAATAATTATAAAAATAAAAGAATTTTTTCAACAGTTAAAAGAAGATTTCAGTTTGAAGTCTGAAAGAACTCATGACTCCTGTGCATAATTAATGGGAAAGAAAAATCCTATTCCCTGGTAACAGCCTCATAAGAAGCCAGAAAGAACAAGTTACAAAGGGAAAAGAATCATCCTGGCATCAGACTTAGCATCTGCAGTAGTGGGAGGTAAGAGATGGTAGAAGAAAATCTATAAATCAAAGAGAGAAAAGGACTATAAACCAAGAATCTATACTGACCAAGAAGACATCATTAACATCTCAGAGTGATAGAAAAATACTTGCAGATGTATAAGGGATCACAAACCACCAACAACATAAATGTTCTTCAGGGTGAAAGAAAGACATACGAATATGTAATGATCTAATACACAAAAACAATGAACATGTATTGATTGCTTGTAACACACCAGGCAGAGTTTTAGGTGCTACGAACATAGAAGTAAACAATATAAAGTTCTTTTATTCAAGGAGCTTGTATTCAGTGAAGAAAGTACCCATATGACCCATAGAGGAAAACACTCAAGAAAATTAAATAACAGTAGTAAAAATTAAAATGTCCTCAAGCTAGGAAAAGACCAAGATGAAAGAATATAGATGTGAACAATGAACCTTGAAATATATAATTACATATTAAATCAATATGATATTATTGAACTTGCATTTAAATACTAGGAAAATATTCTATCAGTAGAAAATTGTCTAAAATTATAAATAAATTATTCAGACTAGATAGATAAAATTAATAATGGTTAAGACCTAGAAATATGGCATAAGCAAAAGCTAGGATTTGCAGGGGACATCAAGGGAGCAAAGTAAAATGGTCTACAAATATTGTCTATCTGAGGGATATGGAAAGATAAAGATATGGAAAATAAAGATTTATCTTACAGGAAGTAAGAGGATTATAGTAGAAGAATACATTTAAAGCTATTTGAAAAATATATTACCAAAATATAAAAAAGGAAATGAAAAGGGCAAAACAAGTTAAATAAATAGTAAAGTAGAATAGAAGGAAAGTTTTCAAATATACCCACTGTTATACTAAATGTAAATAGGTTAAATTCTCATTAAAATGCCAAGATTACCAGAAAATTTAGGTATAGCTTACTCATGAGAAATACACATGAAGAAAGTAGATTAAGAGGAGGTAGAAAACAACGTAAATGCAATAAAGAGAAAAAAGTGGAAATATTAATACTCAACAAAGTGGATTATAAGATTAAAATGTTAAACAGTGTCACAAAGAAATATTATATCATAATAAAAGGTACTTTATAGGGGCTGGGGATGTGGTAGCCTGGCATGCGTGCGGCCGGGTTCAATCCTCAGTACCACATACAAACAAAGATGCTGTGTCGGCGGAAAAAATTAAAATATAAATATATATATATATATATTTTTTTTAAGTACTTTATAAAGAAGTTACAGTTCATGAGCTTGTAGTCACTATACAAAAGAACAAGCTTTTGCTTGTTCACTATGTCTGAATTATCCAAATGTCAGGGCTACGGATGTAGCTCAATGGTAGAGCACTGCCTAGCATGTGTGAGGCACCAGGTGTGATCTCCATTACAAAAAATGTGGGGGAAAGGTTAAAATAATGGGCAGAAATTCTATAACATTCCCTTTAAAAGGTAAAGCCTCATTTGCTTCCCCTTGAGTGTAGGCCAGACTTAGTGACCTGCTTCTAAAGAATAGGAAAAAAAAGTAATGATATGCAACTAGGGAGATTTAGTCATAAAAGACATTGTAGCTTCCTGCCTATTCTTTCTCCTGGATCACTCACTCTAGGGAAAAACAGTTGCTATGTCATGAGAATATTCAGAAAACCTTGTGGCGAGGCCATGAGTTCAGCAAGGAACTGAAATGTTTTGCCTACAGCTATGTGACTTAGCCACCATGGAAATGGTTCCAGCCAATCCTTCAGGTGTTTGTAGCCCTGACCAATAGTCTGTCTCCCCATGAAGAAACCCTGAGCCAGAATGACATAGCTAAACTGCACACAAATTTCTGATGCACAGAAATTATGAGAGATTATATTTGGTAGCTTTAAGGCACTAAGTATTGGGGTGGCTTGTTACAAAGCAATATATAATACACATAGTAGATACAAGTGAAAAAATATGCAAAATTGAATATACAATCAATAAACATGTTTTAATAACTATATAAAGAACTTTATATATAAAAAATACAATTAATTTTTCTTATGTCCATAAAGTCTTCATGAGAATCAACCATTAAGGCTTTAAAGAAACCATTGACAA